AGCCTGTCTTGGTAAAGCATTTAGAAACTCAGTTGGAACTTATAAGGAGGGATCTGCACTCAAAATATGCAGGAAAATTGGCAAAGAGAGCTCAGTATTTGTGCATCCAGGCATTTCTCTAAGTTTCCCTCACAAAGGATTAAAGCCAAAAGTGGAATTAAAAAGGAAAGTTTTCTTCTTTGCAACAAACATTGGGATTTTATTTATTTGGGTCTATCCCCACTCAAGTTTCTCAGATCCTTCCTCTCACACTCAGAAAAATCAAAACTTCTTACTGTGTCCTGCATGATCCCCAGTAATCTGGTCGCTGCCTACCTCTCTTAGTGCATCACCTACAGTTCTGCCCACTTGCGCTGCCCCTCTGGCCTCATACAGCCCTTCACAGAAGTTTGCTTTTTTGTCAGAATGTGCATGTTCTTTACCCTAGGTATTTGCAGGGGCCATGCCTTCATACGTATTTCTGCCCCAAAGTGTTGCTTCTCAGAGAGTTCTTCCCTGACTCTACTATTTTAAATACTCTCTTATAATATTTGTCATCTATTGTTTGCCCCACCTACTAGAATGTGAGTTTCATTAAAGCAGGAAATACATATATCACATCTTGGCTTCTTTAACCATTCATCTATCAATGGACACTTGGGCTGCTTCCATATCTTGGCTATTGTAAAGAATGCTGCAGTAAACATAGGGATGCACATGTCTTTTTGAATTAGTGTTTTTATTTTCTTTGGGTAAATACAGAGTAGTGGAATTACTGGATCATATGGCAATTCTATTTTTAACTTTTTGAGGAACCTCCATGCTGTTTTCCACACTGGCTGCACCAATTTACATTCCCACCAACAGAGCACAAGGGTTCCTTTTCTCCCCATCCTCACCAACACCTGTTGATTTTTGTCTTTTTTATTTTAGCCATTCTGACAGGTATGAGGTGAGAGCTCATTGTGATTTTGATTTGCATTTCCCTCATGATAAGTGATGTTGAGCATCTTTTCATGTGTCTGTTGGTCATCTGCATATCTTCTTTGGAAAAATGTCTACTCATGTTTTTTGCCCATTTTTTTCATTGGATTATTTGTGGGGTTTTTTTTGGTGTTAAGTTGTATCAGTTCTATGTTTTAGATATTAACCCCTTATTGTATGTATCAATTGCAAATATCTGTTCCCATTTGGTAAATTGCCTTTTTGTTTTGTTGATGATTTCCTTCACTGTGCAAAATTTTTATTTTGGTCTAGTCCCAATAGTTTAATGTTGCCTTTGTTTCCCTTGCCTCAGGAGATACACGTAGCAAAATGTTTCTATGACCAATGTCAAAGAAATTACTGCCTATGTTTCCTTCTAGGAGTTTTATGGTTCCAGGTCTTTAATCCATTTTGAGTTTATTTTTGTGTATGGTCTAAGAAAATGGTCCAATTTCATTCTTTTGCATGTGGCTGTCCAGTTTTCTCAACACCTTTTGTTGAAGAGACTATCTTTTCCCCTTGCATATTCTTGCCTCCTTTGTTGTAGATTAATTGACCATATAAGCATGGATTTATTTCTGGACTCTATTGTGTTCTACTGACCTATGTGTCTATTTTTGTGCTAATACCATACTGTTTTGATTACTACAGCTTTGTAACATATCTTGAAACCTGGGATTGTGATGCCTCCAGCTTTGTTCTTCTTTTTCAAGATTGCTTTGGATATTTGGGTCTTTTGTGGTTCCATACACATTTTAGGATTATTTGTTCTAGTTCTATGAAAAATGCTGTTGGTATTTTAATAAGGATTGCATTAGATCTGAAGATTGCTTTGGGTAGTATGGACATTTTAACAATATTGGTTCTTCCAATCCATGAGCATGGAATATCCTTCCATTTGGTTGGGTCATCTTCAATTTCTTTCATCAAAGCTTTATAGTTTTCAAAGTGTAGGTCTTGGTTAACCTCTTCGTTAAATTTCTTTCTAGGTGTTTTATTCTTTTTGGTGCAATTGTAAATGAGATTGCTTTCTTAATTTCTCTTTCTGCTACTTCATTTTTAGTGTATAGAAATGCAATAGATTTCTGTATATTTTTATATCCTGTGACTTAACTGAATTTTTTTTTCAGTTCTAGTAGTTTTTTGGTGGAGTCTTTGAACTTTTCTATAAATAGTATCATGTCATCTGCAAATAGTGACAGTTTAACTTCTTCCTTACTAATTTGGATACCTTTATCCACCCCCCTTTTTTTTGCCTGACTGCTGCAGCTAGGACTTCCAGTACTATTTTGAATAAAAGTGAGAGTGGACATCCTTGTCTTGTTCCTGATCTTAGAAGAAAGGCTCTCAGTTTTTTTCATTGATTATAATGTTAGCTATGGGTTTTTTTTAAAAAAATACAACCTTTATTATGTTGAGGTATGTTCCCTCTAACCCCATTTTTTTGAGAGTTTTTATCTTGAATGGATGTTGAATCTTGTCAAATGCATTTTCTGCATCTATTGAAATGATCATAGGGTTTTTATCCTTTCTATTGTTGATGTGATGCATCACGTTGATTGATTGGTGAATATTGAACCACCCTTGCATCCTGAGAATATACCCTACTTGATTGTGCTAAATAATTTTTAAAAATATATTGTTTTTACTTTGCTAATATTTTGTTGAGGATTTTTACATCTATGTTCATCAGAGATATTGGGCTATAGTTTTCTTTTTTTGTAGTGTCTTTATCTGGCTTTGGTGTCCATGGCAATCCTGGATTCAGAATAAATTTTGGAGCTTTTATTCCTCTTCTGTTTTTTGGAATAATTTGAGAAGAATAGATATTAACTCTTCTTTAAATATTTGGTAGTTTCAGGGACGCTTGAGTGGCTCAGTTGGTTAAGCATCTGCCTTCAGCTCAGGTTGTGATCTCAGGGTCCTGGGATCAAGTCCCACATGGGGCTCCCTGCTCAGTGGGGAGCCTGCTTCTCCCTCTCCCCCTGTCCCCCAGCTTGAGCTCTCACTCTGTCTCTGTCAAATAAATAAATAAAATCTTAAAAAAAAAAATTTGGTAGTTTCACCTGTGAGTCCATCTGGTCCTGGACTTTTGTTTGTTGGGAGTTTGTTATTGTTGGGAGTTTTTGATTACTGATTCAGTTTCATTTGAACAAACTAATCAGTTTGTTCAAATTTTCTATTTCTTCCTGATTCAGTTTTGGAATGTCATATATCTCTAGGAATTTATCCATTACTTTTAGGTTGTCCCAATTTGTTGGCATATACTTGTTCATAATACTCTCTTATGATCCTTTGTATTTCTGTGGTATTGGTTGCTATTTCTTCTCTTTCATTTCTGATTTTATTTGATTCCCACCCCTCACACACACTTCATGAGTCTGGCTAAACGTTTATCAGTTTTCTTGATCTTTTTAAAGAACTAGCTCTTGGTTTTCTTGACCTCTTTGACTTTGTTTTTTTAGTCTCCATTTCATTTGTTTCTGCTCTAATCTTTATCATTTCCTTTCTTCTACTGGCTTTTGATTTTGTTTTTTCTTCTTTTTCTAGTTCCTCTGGGTGTAAGGTTAGGTTGTTTGAGATTTTTCTTGCTTCTTGAGGTAGGCCTGTATTGCTATAATCTTCCCTCTTCAAACATCTTTTGCTGCATCCAAAGATCTGGGACCATTGTCTTTTCCTTTTCATTTGTCTCATGTATTTTTTTAAAATATTTTATTTATTTGAGAGAGAGAATGTGAGAGTTGGGGGGAGGGGCAGAGGGAGAGAGAATCTCAAGCAGACTCCAGGCTGAATGCAGAGCCTGACACAGGGCTCAATCTCACGACCCCGAGATCATGACCTGAGCCAAAATCGAGAACTGGATGCTCAACTGAGTGAGTCATCCAGGTGCCCCTGTCTCCATGTATTTTTTGATTTCCTCTTTGATTTCTTGGTTGACCTATTCATTGTTTGGTACCATGTTACTTAGCCTCCATGTATATGTATTCTTTCCAGATTTTTTCCTGTGATTGATTTCTAGTTTAATACTGTTGTGGTTGGAAAATACACATGATATGATTTCAACCTTTTTGGATTTGTTGAGTTATAAGAAATTGGAAACATCCAAAATGTCTATTACAAAGGAATTGTTAATTATAATCATTTAGTACTATGAGCCCAAGAAAAAGGATGAGGTTAAACTCTACTGAAAGAAAAGGCTGTTTGTGATACATTGGTAAGGTAAAAAAACAAGTTACAGAATATAATGCATGTTATCAAACTATTATGTAATACAAACGGTAAAACATACAATAAAGGAATGTAATGTATTTATCATATATATGCTTATATATGCATTAGAAAATGACCAGAAGGTTGTGCATTAATAACCTGACCGCTGGGGAATGGGATTGTGGGAGGTAGGCTTATATTTTCTACTTTACATATTTCTCTTTTGAAGTTTTGTCATCACACTTTTAAAATAACACATTTTAAGCTTCACTTATACAGTTCTTAGTTTTATTTATTTTTTTAAAGATTTTATTTATTCATTTGTCAGAAAGAGAGCAAGCGAGAGAGAGTACAAGCAGGGGGAGTGGCAGGCAGAGGGAGAAGCAGACTCCCTGATGAGCAGGGAGCCCTATGTGGGGCTGGATCCCAGGGCCCTGGGATCATGATCCCCAGCTGAAGGCAGACAATCAACTGACAGAGCCATCCAGGTGTCCCTACAGTTCTTAGTTTTATTTTTTTTCTTTCTTTTTTTTTTTTTTAAAGATTTTATTTATTTATTTGACAGAGAGAGAAAGCACAAGCAGGGGGAGTGGGAGAGGGAGAAGCAGGCTCCCCGCAGAGCAGGGAGCCTGATGCGGGACTTGATCCCAGGACCCTGGGATCATGACCTGAGCTGAAGGCAGTCGCTTAACCAACTGAGCCACCCAGGCACCCCAGTTCTTAGTTTTAAAGCAAGGAATTAAAATGTCATCATGGGGACGTGTCTCTCTCTGACAAATAAATAAATAAATAAAATCTTTAAAAAAATAAAAATAAAATGTCATCATGAATAAAAATTTTGCCAAAATATCTAGGAAAAAACAAATCTCAAAACAATAAAACTCTGCTCAGTGCCACACACAGAAAGAATTTAGTAAGTCATTTGATAAACCAACACTTCTACTGTCAAAGAAGCCAAAGTTGAGAGAACCCTGGGACCCTTAATACCTGCTAGTTCTAGCTATTACCATCCAGATCCTTGCTTCCTGAAGGAGATTCATTGAGACTGAGAGATTAGAAATCAAAGCTCTATTTTATAACCACAAGAGGTTATTTTTTTAAAAGCACAACATATTTATCATTTGTTTTTAAGAAATTTTTATTAATGATTTGTGTTTAATCATTCATTTTTAATAAAAACAGGCAGAGAGTTGATGGAAAAGCAGTCTATTATATATGAGAAAAACACAAAAACAAGATTACTCTTGATGTAGTGGGAATCAGATCTTTAAAGAGAACACTCTTTTATCTCTTAGATCTACTGTCTAATATTGGGTAGTCAGCCTAATTCTTTTTTCTGTGTTAGTTTTCATTTTTGAAGCTCAGAACTATCTAAACATCTCTGGTACCAATGATATGTGAAAGCATAAACTACAAATAAAGAGGGGTTTATCCTGGGGTTAAAATTTCAGATATTCTGAGATTCAAGGAGAGTCATGTTTTATAAGGTCATAGTATTTTAAGAGGTTATGAAAAGGGCAGAAAGTATAGCGTCCACTCTTGGTGGATATAAGAGCGATACAAAGGACAGAATCAAGCAACAAACTACAGAATACCGTTGCACTGTTTTGGGCTGCTGAAAAGGGAGAAGCCAGTGAAAGCTTCCAAATGTTGAATTTCATAGAAGTAACCTCTTTGTCCTTTGGAGCACTGCAGCCTGCTTAAACCTCGTCTCTAACTGCTAGCTCACATGGTGTACATGTTGACAAGGTCTTCAACCTTCCCTGTGTAAATAACTTCTCTTTGTATTTACTCTCCGGGAGGTGGCTTTGTTCCCATTGAAGCAGAAAGAAAAAAAAATAAAATATCTGAAGAAAAGAGGCCTTTTGAGTATGTTTATATAAGCACAGAAGTTTTTAAGGGGCATGGAATGAAATTGGATCTGACTGTTAAAGCTACATTAATATTCTTGAGATAGACAGGTAATTAGTCTTGTTCCTTTGCTGCTGATGTCAAACTAATGTTTTTTTTTATATTAACAGTATTGAAAAATGTGAAATTAAGCTTTGAAGCATTGATTCTAAACTTAGATTTACATCATTAAGGTGCAGACATCTCTGGCTGGAGCTCCATTATTCATTTCATTTTGGTTTTGTGGCCAATCACTGCTTCAAATTGAATGTTCTGTAAGTGATTTATAGCTGCCAAGGCACGTTCAGGAAGAAATCTGTATTAAAAAAAGATAAAAAATTCTCAATGAAAAATTTTTGACACGAGAGTTCTTTTTTGTTGTCCTTTAAAATACGGAGAGTTATCTGGTTTGCATTTAATCTTCCTGTGTTCCTCCTTTCTTCCTTCACATCTACCCCTCTCTCGTGTGTGTGTGTGTGTGTGTGTGTGTATCTTTTAATACTTATAGTTCAAATACTGTGGACATATAAAGAAAACACTGATATAAACCATTCTTCAAACCTTCTCATATTAGTGAAATCTTATAGGAGATTTCATATGATAAAGATCTGAAACTGAAGGTCTGGACTTATTGCTGAAACTGTCAATGAATCCTGATAGGAAGCATTCACAGAAAGACACCACCAGAATATCTATTATACACCTTATAATACACCTATTATATACCTTGTAAGCCCCATGCAGGGTGTAGAGATTACTTAAAAATAAAAAAAAATCTTTTAAAAAATGCTAAGGAGATAGGATTATTTACCCAGAGGACACAATCTCAGCTTTCTTCTGAGGGACAGTTTATGATAGATTAAAATTGTATCAATGAGAAGACAGACAAAAGTACTCAAAAAACAGCCACGGCCTGAGCAGCTTACTGTTGAGCTGAGAGACTAAGAGGAGAGGAGAGGCTGTCTTGGAACAATGGATGAGAAATATCAGCCTTCTCTAACTAAGGGCTATAACTGTGAGGAGGATTCGTGTGGGCTGGAATAGTGAAGGAGAACTTCAAAAGTGTTCAAGGACAGGTAAGATTTGAGTAGGCAGATGAAAGGAAGAGCGTATGTGTGAATGTAAGAAGGCAGATGTAACACATTCTGCAAAGAAAATCATATTGAAAACCACTTTGGTGTTGTTGACTAATGCAAGATTTACATCCTTGCCTCAGGTCGGGTAGAAAATGGATGAATAAGCAAAGGGGCAGGGAGAAAGACAAGTATAAGAGAACCTGTATGGGCTTTTTAACTATCCTTACAAAGAAACCTCCATACTAGTAACTGCATCTGCTCACAAAATTGTCTATCTCTGTAAAAGGAATTATATGTGAAGAAGATTAACAGTAAGTGCCTATTGTTGAGTAACAAACCATCATGACAGCTCCACAATAATACCAAATATTTTGAGACTCTTGTTTATTGTACAGAGATACCTATTCTCTAACTCTGACGCTTAGTATCTTGTTCATAAGCAAATATGCTATGATTTTTATTTTTTCAATATTAATACGACGTGTTTTGAGCCCTAATTGAGGAGGAATCCCATGAAACTCCTTTCCTACAGTTGCTTAGCAGTAAGACATTTAGTCAACTCTTGAGATGATGTTGCCATGAGGTCGAGGTTATGCTAACTTAAGTTAGTCTACTGAAGCTAAAATGGAAGACTGAAATTGATGCAGTGATGCAGCTTGTCCCCTGTTCTTGAATTGTTCTATTCCAGGGTAGCACAGTTTATGTGGATTGGTTTCAAAATGACCCAAGGTCTTGTGAAGTTATTATAGTTATCTTCTCATTGATACAATTTTAATCTATCATAAACTGTCCCTCAGAAGAAAGCTGAGATTATGTCCTCTGGGTAAATAATCCTATCTCCTTAGCATTTTTTAAAAGATTTTTTTAAATTTTTAAGTAATCTCTACACCCTGCATGGGGCTTGAATTCACAACCTCGAGATCAAGAGTTGCATGCTCTACAGACTGAGCCAGCCAGATGCTCTTTTTCCTGGAATTCAATGTAAGTTCTGCTTCCTAAATCTTTAATATCTGACTTCTGTGCTTTTTTAATGGCAGGGGCCTTACTTGCATTATCTTATTTTTATGGTAAGCTTAGAAAGGAGGTATTAGCACCACCTCCATTTTATATATGGAAAATCTGAGGCCACAGAGGTTCAATAACTCATCCATGGTCAAAGAACTACTAAGTGGTAAAGTGGTTTTTCATCTTAGGTGGAGCCTTCATTCTTAATCACTTTATCATATTGTGTTTCTTTAAAAACAATCTTTGCTTCAGTTAGAACAGCCTCCAGCAGAGATGATATGGAAATCATAGAGGTGGCAGAGAATATCATATAAGTACTGAAAAACAAAAAACTATCAACCTAGAGTTCTATATTCAGTGAACATATCTTTCAAAGCTTAGGGCAAAATAAAGAATTTGTTAAACATACACGCGGCGAAAGAATTCACAACCAGCAGAACTTCTCTGAGAAAATGTTAAAGGATACTCTTCAGGCAGAGGGAAAATGATACCAGACAGAAGTCTGGATCTACACAAATGAATAAAAAGCACCAGAAATGTTAACCACATGCATAAGCACTTAAGAATTTACCTCGTTATTTAAAGATCTTTAAAAAAGTATTCGCTGTTTAAGCAAACAAACAAAAACTGTAATGTGCGTTTTTTTTTTAACATATGTAGAAGTAAAATGTATGACAATCATAGGGTAAGTCAGAGGGGAGAGATAGAAGTTTATCATTGTAAGGTTCTTAGACTATACATGAAGTGGTATAATATCATTTGAAGGCTGACTATGATAAGTTAAAGACACATACTATGAATCCTAAAGCAATAACTAAAGTAACAAAACAAAGAATTATAGCTAGTAATCCAAAAAAGGAAATAAAATGGAAACATGAAAATATTCAATTAAACCAAAAGGAGGCAGAAAAAAGGAACCAAAAATAAATGGAATAAATAGAAAACAAATAGCAAGCTTTAAACTTAGCTTTAAATTTAACTATGTCAACAATCATATTAAATGTAAAGAGCCTAGGGGTGCCTGGGTGGCTCAGATGATTAAGCATCTGCCTTCGGCTCAGGTCATGATCCCAGGGTCCTGGGATCGAGTCCCACATTGGACTCCCTGTTCAGTGCAGAGCCTGCTTCTCCCTCTCCCTCTGCCATTCCCTCTGCTTGTGCTCTCTGGCTCTATCTCTCTGTCAAATAAATAAATAAATAAAATCTAAATAAATAAATAAATAAATGTAAAGAGTCTAAAAACCCCCAATTAAAAGGGGTTTTATAAAATTGGATTTAAAAAAAAAAGAACAAGCTATATACTACCTACAAAAACACATTTCAAATATAAGGAAACAGGTTCAGAGTAAAAGAACAGAATAGGATATACTAAGATAACATTAATCTAAAGAAGCTGAAGTGGCTATATTAATATCAGTATATTTTACAGTGAAGTATGTTTCCAGGGATAAACAAGGTTATTTCCAACACGACAGAGTAGTTAATTCATCTAGAGGACACAATAATCCTAATTGCTATGCACATAATAACAGGGCTTCAAAATATGTGAAGCAAAAATGGAAAGAAAAGTAAAGAAAATAGACAAATTCACAATTATAGCTAGAGATTTTGAGACTCCTTTCAATAACTGATAAAACAAATAGTCAGAAAATCAGTAAAAACACAGAAGATTTGAACAACACTATCAACCAATTTGACCTAAGCTGACATTTACAGAACACTCAACAATACAGAATACTCTTCTCATTCTTTTTGGGTGCATATGGAACACTTTATCAAGATAAACATATTCCAAGCTTAAACATGTCTCAATAAATTTAAAATATTAAAGTCATACGAAGTAATTAAATTAGAAAACAGAAAAATCTCCAGAAAATCTCCAAAAAGCTAGAAATTAAAAAATGCATTTCTAAGTAACCCAGGTTACAAAAGGGAAATTAGGAAGTATTTTGAACAGAATAGAAATGAAAACATAACATGTTAGAATTTGAGAGACAGAACTGAAAACAGTACACAGGGAAATTTTACAGTATTAAGTGCCTATGCTAGAAAAAAAAATCAATGGACTCAGTTTCCACATTAACAAACTAGAAAAAGAAGGGAAAATTAAATGAAAAATAGTCAGAATAAAAGAAATAATAAAGATCAGAAAAGAAATTAGTGAAGTAGAACACATGAAAAATAAAAAAAATACATAAAAAATAAAATAAACCAAATGCTAGTTCTTTGGAAAAAAATCAATCAACTGATAAACCTCTAGATAGACTGAAGAGAGTAAAAAATCAAAAAATACAAATTGCCACTACCAGGAATGAGATATCCTAAAGATATTACAAGTACAATAAGGGAAGATTATGAATAAATTTATGCCAATAAATTTGACAATTTAGATGAAATGGACACATTCCCTGAAGGACACACATTACCAAGAACAAATAAGTAGCCTGAATAGCCCTATAGGTTTTAAAGAAACTAGATTTTTAGTTAAAGCTTGTCTATAAAGAAAACAACAGGCCCAGATGGCTTCACTGGTGAATTCTACCAAATGTTTAAAGAAAAAATGCCAATCCCACACAAGCTCTTCTGGAAAAGAGGAGGGCATACTTTCCAACTTATTCTATGAAAATCAGACAAAGACATTACAATGCAGGGGTAGCTTATTCTTTAAAATTAATCAGTATAGTGGTGCCTGGGTGGCTCAGTCATTAAGTGTCTGCCTTCAGCTCAGGTCATAACCCAGGGTCCTGGGATCAAGCCCCACATCGGGCTCCCTGCTCGGCAGGAAGCCTGCTTCTCCCTCAACCACTCCCCCTGCTTGTGTTCCCTCTCTCGCTATAGCTCTCTCTGTCAAATAAATACATAAAATCTTAAAAAAATAAATAAAATTAATCAAATCAATCAGTATAATACATCATATCAACAAATGGAAGTGAAAATGGAAAAAAAATATGATTTTCTTAACACAGTTAGTAAAAGCATTTGATAAATCTCTCATCAAAATAGTAATAGAAGGGAACTTCCTCAACATGATAAAAAGCATCTATGAAAAAACATCTACAGCTAACATTATACTTAATTGTGAAATATTTAATACTCTTCTCTTAAGCTTAAGAGGAATACTTGGATGTATGCTTTCACCAATCCTATCTACATTGCATGGAAAGTTCTAGCCAGTGCAATAAGGTAAGAAAAAAAAACCAAAACCATACAGATTGGAAAAGAAGAAGTAAAAGTGTCTTTATTTGCAGACAATATGATCATCTGAAATAATCTATAAAAAAATCTGTTAGAATCTACAAAAAATACTAGAAATGAATTTAGCAAGGGTGCTAAATACAAGATCAAAATGCAAAAATCAAACACATACTAGTAACAAACAATGGGAAATAGAAAACATTTTCTGAATGCCATTTGCAACAGCATCAAAACCATGAAATACTTTGGGATACATTTGATAAAAGGTGTGTAAGACTGTATGCTGAAAACTATAAAATGTTGTGTAGAGATATTAAAGAAGAGAAAAAAAAGGAAAGGTATTTTATGTTCTTTGTTTTCTTGGGTTGGAAGACTCAATGTTGTTAATGTCAATTCTCCCCCAGGTGATCCATAGATTCAATGCAATTTCCATCAAAATTCCAGCAGGCTTTTAAATAGACCCTTTATTTTTAATTACATTGTGTTCTCTTTAAACTGTCTTTCCTTCAGTTGGAATGGTCTCTAGCAAAGATTAAACTGAGATGGTAGATGTGGTAGAGAAAATGAATCATTCTTTTTTTTATAGACTGAAAAACACAGTAACAGAGAAAATGTAACTGTTCTCCCCAGGCACGGGGCGGGCGGAGGGGGGGTTCCACAGCAACTTTCACAGCTGAAAGACTCTTCATTATAATGATAGCTCTACTGGTGTTTTAGCATTTTAGATGTTTTGTGCTGTACTTACTTGTCTAGTATTATATAGATATTGAAATATGATGGAACAAAAATCATCTTCTTATTGGTAAGTATTCCATCTATCAAGCTTCTTGCAACTGCATCTGTCTCCAAAAGAGGCCATAGTCTGTGATTAAGAAGAAAAAAGTTTGGTTCTTATTGTTGTTGGTGTTTTAATTATCAAAGGCAGGAAAATTACCTTATCCTGTCACCAAATTAGGATTTAAAAGGTTCCAGGATTCACTGAACAAATGTCACCTGCTCCCACCCACCCCACACATTCCATGGGGATGTTTTGTTATCACAATCTTAAACTTTCACATCCAGTGGGCATGTTTTATGGTTCACTCAGTTAAAATATCAAAAGGGTGAAGGGGTGCCTGGCTGGCTCAGTTGGTTAAGCATCTGACTCTTGATTTCTGCTCAGGTCATGATCTCAGGGTCCTGGGATGGAGCCCCAAGACAGGTTCCATGGGGAGCCTATTTGAGGATTCTCTCTCTCCCTCTGCCCTCCTCCTGTTCGTGCTTTCTCTCTAAAATAAATAAATAAATAAATCTTTAAAAAATATATCAGGGCGCCTGGGTAGCTCAGTCATTAAGCATCTGCCTTTGGCTCAGGTCATGATCCCAGGGT